ATAGTTAATGAAATGACCGTTTTTATAGAATTTCATTAGAATTTTTTCATTTCTCTCACACTACCACTCATAATTTTTATTTAATCCATTCTCCTTTTTATTTTGCCTGCATCTTCATCTATTTCTTCATTAGTCTCTAATATTGATCCTAAATACTTAAAAATATTAATTTTCCCAATCATTTCACCGTCCAAAGATTATTAGATTTTTATATGCCGTTGTTTTAGTTTTTGCTATAGCTACTTTTACTTTCTTTTTGGCAATCCTGTAACTTTGAAAACATGTTTCAGACCTATCTTCTTGCAAATCTTGATATAATTTTTTCTTTTATTTTATTTTCCTCTTTGATTAGCTAAAGTTCTCCTTTACAAAACGTATATTCCTTAGAGTTATCCAAGTATTTTAGCTACAGTATATTATATTTAATAATACTTTCTTAGACATAGCATTACACAGCATATTATGTATACTGTTTACCGCGCGACTAAAAATCGTTTATTGCTAAGGTCAGCAGTTGGCTAATATGGCTAGTTATTTCTATAGGCTCTATAATGTGAAGATCCATCAAAATATATTTGGCCGGTAGACAAACTATTTTGATTAAGTTTTCCGTATTACCTCTATTTCAAAGCATGTAGCACACCAACCACTTTTTGCTAATAGTCCAGTCGGAATAGACAAAAAAGACCTTACCTTGCATGGCGGGCAACCCCAAATTTTATTATTCTAACCATTAGGGGTGGTCAATATTAGTGTACCTTTAAAATCGCGACTAAATCTCACAGTTGCGTTAGCTGCTCTCTTTTTCCTTTTCCATGATTTTCTATAATTTCTTCTTGACAAATTTTTTGGCGCGGTCGATATTTTCCGAGGTAAGGGTGAAAACAGTAGGGAAGAAGCATACTTATTGAATTATCCTGATTATTAACCCTTTCTATTTCGGGCCTTGATATAATATATTATGGTCTTGATATGGAAGACCGGCTTTGATATATGGGGCTAAAACGTGGACCTTATCTCAAAATGATCAAAGACAAAAATTCGTAGAAAGATTTTTTGTGCCATAAACGAAAATGGGCTATGGCTTCAAAGATACAACTTTGAACTAGGTTTGAAGGTTTTTTCATGCTTAGAGTCCCATTACCCTATATATAGGTCACATATAAATTAACAAGTAAATGACCCAAAAATGTTTTTTAATGAATTTTTTAAACGTTTTCTTTTTAAAAGTACTCACCAGAGATCAAAACGAACTTAAAAAAAATGTAACTAACTCAAGAAACATAATGTAATGTAAATTAACATTAAAAGTTTTCTTTTGTGTGGTACTTCCCAAAACAAGGTACTACGCAAAGGCCCATTCCGCATCTTGCACACATGCATCCCGATTAGTTTTTTTTCTGGTCTTGTCTGTGGCTACAAACGACTCATCGTTTCACTTTCTTGTCAGAAACTGAACTAGGAAAATGTCACCCTTTGAGGATTCTTGATTAAAGGGTTTATACGTCTGTTTTGTCTATGTCTCTTTTCCATCTTTATGTCTAAAACAAGATGAAGAAATAAGTGCACAATAAAAAAAATACAATTATTATAAATTTGCCTATCAAAAACTGCCCCCATAATGGTAAGTTGATAATCTAAAAGAGGTAGCCATTCTGAAGATTGGGTCTAATAGAGTGCATCTGAGTTAAGAAGAGACAGATCAACCATGTGGAAAAATAGCTTTTTAAATCATTTTGTGGTCTTTCTTACACATTCCGTGTAGCTCAACATCATATCTGATCGATCTATTGCACCCATATTTTCGTTGTAATATACAACAACAGCTGGTTTTTGTATGGGCTCTTTCGTCTTGAAATCTACTTTGTCTAACGTTACCATGCGATCTTTATGAAAAATAGTCAGCATCATAACATCCGCCTATCCTTCCATTTCACGCAAAGCAAATTTCCGGCACACATCGAGATAAATTTGCCTTTAGATAATTTTTGAATTAAATTGGGCATCTCTTTACGATTAGCACGGACTATACCGCAGAAATTAGTTTTATGTTTATACAGATATATATACAAAGTAGGGCTAGTATACCAGTTGTCTGTATACAGGTTATAGCCTTAATTCAAATATGGTTCCATAAGTTTTGCTACTACTGAGCCTGATATTCCAAGATCTTGGAACAGTAATATCTGTCGATTTTTCAGTATAGACAATAACATCTAATACATATCCTGTCTGGCGGTCACATATTAGAAAAAGTTTTATTCCAAAGCGATGGCGTTTGGTCTTTATGTACTGTTTAAATATCAAACGCCCCTTGAAAAGAACCAAGCTCTTATCAATAGCAGAATTTTGAATTGGAGTAAAGTACTTTTAGAACTGTGTTGTAATTTATTGAACACTGTTAGCAGTGTCAGATAATTAATTATTAAACTGGTAGTAACTTATGAACTAGCACTAAACAGCGTGGAGGAGCAGTTTTAATTTTGTTGCAAAACCATTTTAAAGCTAAACAAATCAAATCTGACCTTAATAATGTTAAGCGTCTGTTTGTTCAAGTGAATTATGAATGTGCATCAATTATCTTGGGTGAGGTATACATTCCTCCGAACTCATCAGAAGATATTTACCATGTTCATTGCTCGGCAGTTGAAATATTAAAAAAAATTGGCTAGATGCATCTGTATATTTATTTTTATTATGTTCTGAAGCTATTCTCTTAGGGCATTTTAAATACACTTATTTTAACCTTCAATTGTAGCTTATTCATCATGAAAATAGTACTTATTATATTTATTTGGCAACTACAATTCACCATTCGATTCTTAGGCTTACTCAAATAAAGAGGTCTCGCTTGTTGACTGCCCACAAAACTATCGAGCAAAGCTACTATGCCAATACTTCTCTTACCTAAACTTGAGGCAATCAAATCTACGTGGAGTCTTTTTGGATCTCATTTTCTACAGTATTGTGATCTTAGTTTTATTGGAAATGTTAAACAATTAGATTATACTACTACATACTTTTAATACCGTATTGTAAATTTTATAGATCTAAACAATTATTTTTCTTCAGTTGACTATGATACTATTTTTAATGATTAAAATATTAATAATTTACTAAATAATTTTATTAAAACGTTTTCTAAAGTAATATCAGTTTCGAAAAAAAAAAACATTAAAACCTTCAAAATTTTCTCATACTATCTGAAAGTATTCATTCATTCATTAATTCATTGATTTATTCATTCATTAATTCATTGATTTATTCATTCATTCATTCATTCATTCATTCATTCATTCATTCATTCATTCATTCATTCATTCATTCAGTCATTCATTCATTCATTCATTCAGTCAGTCATTCATTCATTCATTCAGTCATCATTCATTCATTCATTTATTCATTCATTCATTCAACATTTTTTCATTCATCTGAAAACATGTCTGCACATCTGATGTTAAAAGTGTTTTCGTTCATTAGAATTTCCTCGATCACGTCTTCTTCTAGGGTATATTCAAACATGTTTCGAAATACATTCTGATTATTAAACAGAAGAAAAGACATCAGCATCTCTGTCGAACTCCGCGTTTAATTGATGCAAGATCTGTCAACTGATTGTCTTCTAGAAGATAGTTTTCAATCTCGTTAAATATCTATTATACATTCTGCATTGTACACCGAATACTTAGTTCTCTTTTAACTAGTTTGCGAATAGACACCATAATTTTGATCATTTTAATTTGAATTTATTTTGATTTATCCCGCTCTTTGGTCCCGGTTCTTGTCGTGCAAATTATTTAACCACGTTTACTAAAACTATCAAAAGCAAATTGGTAACTAATGGTTACATAACTTTCAATTATATGGTTTTAACAAATATTTGTTTATTTTTAAGGAAATTTTTTTTTTGTTAACTTTATTAAGATAACATTTAAATTGATTTATTAGGATACAATTACAAAAATTACGTTAGTGTATGACGATAAAATATGGGAGCGAACCACTAGTGCATAAGCACTAGACGGAATGAAGACATCTTTATTGTATACAAGAGTTAACTCATTAATGGACGACTGACTCCGTTATTAACAAATAATAGATCTCACATTGTTAACACGTGCAGAATAAACCTGTGGGATTGAAAGAAGAATTTCAACAAAATATTTTTATTTATGTAGTCCAAATTTATTATATTAGTATTGATTATAACTTCTGTAAAATCAAATTAAAAAGAAAAAATAACTTTTGTAGGTTGTTAAAAGAAAAGTGAGTTCTATTGGACACTTTTGATCTAAAAGTCATAACGTAACCGTTGCAGATATCTACTGTTAAAATTCCATATAATTATATGTTTACATTTTATTAGTATGATACAAATGGTCCAAAAAAAAGTCCTAACCCCGACATTCAAAGTAAAAGTTTTCCTTCAACACCAAATTGTTCTATATGGTCCATATATTGTTCAGTAAAAAGTTACACTATTTTGAGCGTCGGGTTTTAGGGAAGGGGGGAGTAAAGTAGGCAAATAAGTAGTTTTTTTACGTTTTCCGTTAATATTTCTAAAACTATGCCATTTAGCGTAAACAATGTTTTATACAAAAATATTCTACAATAGATTTGAAACAAAAAATGTCCTATGAATAATCCTCCTAAAACGAACGTTTCCAAAGTTACGGAGGTGTACATGTAGACCATGCTACATAAGATTAGGAGAAATTAGTAATCAAATTAGCTTTGCATATTGTAAAAGTAAAATCGAAATAAAAATGATAGAATTTACAAACCATAAAAAAAAATAAATAGGTGCAAAGTATTAAAACATAAAAACACCTGAACTTTCACTCTTATCAACAGAAGTTATAGGGATAAAAACTTGAACTGTGATAAAGTGTTTGAAGTCGGAACCATGGCTTTAAAAGACATTGAAAACAAAACATTCAATAAGATACACTTCAAAAGTAAATTACCTGTTGAAATCCCTAGCCTTTATAACCAGATCGATGACAATTAAAACCACCACGGTATGTGTAAACCCAAACACTCTCTTACATCGGATAATGTGCACAGTAAGAAGTTATGAGAGACTTAAAAAAATATTTCAATATAAACTATGTGCGCATCCTCCATCTTTTTTCGACGAATCTGGTTTGGTGAGAAAAGAAAGCCAACCTTCAATGGTTACTGTTTTGGTTCCAGACACATAAGAATCATCATATACCCTAAATTTAGGAAAAAATGTCATACATCATTGATGGATGTCCTTTATCGTGTTGTCTGGTTAACCTCAACTACCTTCAAAGAGATTTGTGAACAATACAGAGACTATGTAATTACCCATTACAAAACAGCAATTGTTGGGCACCTTTTAACATTGAAGTAAAATTCGAAGACTTAATCCATAGAAATATAAACCAAAGTAAATTTTTAGCTAACGCTAACAACAAAATGGACTTATTTCTTTTCTTACAGTACACTTGCAAAGATGTGGTTGCACATTTCATCAGGCATCGGGTGCGCTGACTTATTAATAGTTTTAAACCCTATTGATGAAGCTTAGAAAGACGCTGAATCTTGTGTTATTGGTGATTACACGGACCTACTAGTTTTGTTGACTATCCACCAGAGAAGAAATTGAAAATGGTGGTACCAAAGAAAGGCAATCGACAGGAAAAAGTCTACACTATTGCTGACTGTAAGCAAGGCATTGGGAATATAAAGGGTGTATTCTTTGCAATAAATGCCTTTACAAAATATGACACGGTATGAGCTATCTACAAAAAGGGAAAAAATACATCGTATATGGAAAGTGCAAGCCAACGACGCTCTTCGTAGAAAACTTCTAGTCTTCAACAACCGCAAAGATGACCCCAGTCTGGCTCAAGTTAGCTGTACTACCACCCACTTCATAAGCTTTCAGTCAGAATTCGTTCAGAATATACCACCAGGTACAGCAGTGGCTGAATGAGAAGAAAAATCTGCTCGAGTTAGGTAGAAAGAAGATTAACAAACATCTTACACCAATTAAAACAGTACGTGCTGCAGCTTCCGAGGAGTGACTCCCTCATAGTTTGTACTTGCAAAGACGAATGCATCCGTAATTATGGGTTAAGAAAGAGTGGTCTTAACTGCTCAAGCATATGCAGCAACTGCTCAGACCTAAGATATTGATAATAGGGACGCAACCATCATAGCCGAAGATGTAGAAGAGAGAGATGTTAGAAGAGGACTAAAACTGATAAAAAGTTTACTTGAACTGATAATAAGTTTACTTGGCAACTCATTGCTAATCATCATTATAATGCAAGGAATATTCTAAGTATATAAAATTATTTTGTTGGAAAGATATTCACGCGACATTATCCATAGAAAGTTCGGAATATGCTTCTCCATACCACAGGTTTATATGGCCTAGCATAGCCTAGTGAAAACCTCTTTTCGCTTAAAAAGAAGCTTGAGAAGGTGGTAAGGTTGACGTTCCTTCAAGGGCTTATCGCTTATATACCACCGGCCACTGAAATAGCAAATTTCATTTACAAAACAGAATCCTGTAAAAAAAATTAGTTTCCTTAGTATTATATATTATAATTTGCCCAAAAATATAAAAAAATGGAAAACCTTCACTTTTACACATTTTGTAAATCCGAAACCGTTTATTTTAAAACAATTCTGTCTTTCTGCCATCTTATTTTATTTGACGTAGAACATTTTTGTATAAATCTTCTTCACGCTAAAACTCATAGTTTTCGAACTATTTACGAAAAACTAAAAAAACTACTAATTTACTAACTTCTCCCACACTCCTTTTTTACTGAACTTCTTACTGAACTATATGTGGACCATATTATAGAACAATTTAGTGTGAAGAATAACTTTTACTTTGGATGTCAGGGTTTGGGTCTAATTATACCATACTACATGACGATTGATTTGTGATAGGACTTATTTTCGTTCCTTTCTTATTCTTATTTTTGTTATCATTTCCTTATACCTTCTCAGGCGTCACAAAGTTTTTCTTTTTCCAAAACCAACAAAATTTTGGAAAACATAACCGCCAAACATCTTTGGTTATATTATATTAACAACTCCCAAATTTAAAATAATCTTTTTGAAACCGAAACGTCAAATAATGATTAAAAAATGTAACTTTCATTGCAATTAATTGTGGCTTAACCCATGATACTATGAACTAAAGATAAACCCACGCGCACGCGATCACTCTATTTCTTTTGCACATGTGACGTCACTTGGCGACAAATATCACCAGAAATGTTCTGTTTTGCATTAAGTTTTGTCAGATTTAGTATTGTTTTATCGTTTATCTACTACGTTGACAAATAGATGTGTGCATTTTTGATAAAATATATTTCAGAATATTAAATTAAAGATAAACTTTTATCACCAATCGACGTCATGCGCATCGACGTACAAAATTCGATTGCGAAGTGGTTTTATCTTGGAAGTCATAGTATCATGACTTAACTCTATATAAATATATTATTTAACTTGCTGTTTAACATGCAACAATAAGACAGTTTCAGAATTTTTTAAAAGAACGGTTTTCGTTTAAAAATGATGATTTAAAAGTCGAAACCTAGTGTTTTGGCAATTCATAATTGCGTTTCCTTGAAAGAATTTCTTTCTACTTTCGATCTCAAAATTAGAAATTCCTTCGGCGTTCTTTCTAATTATTCTAAAGTATTTAAATTGACGAACTTTGTTGAAAAAAGGAATAAGAAGCATGGTAATTTAATATTCAGCGTGAATTCTGAGTTTATTTCTGTTTTCCATAATCTGATAGCAAATTTCGAAGAAAAATTAATACCACTCTTTACATTATTCTCAGAGAATTCTACTGAGTATTATCTAATATTCGCTTTCCTGCGCCATGTTGTAGCGGCTTGTTTTTTATGTCGTAGTCCTATCTTAAATTTGGACGTCTTGGTCTCTTGATATATATACATATATATATATATATATATATATATAATATATATATATATATATTGTTGTGATATCAAGAATTTTAATTTTAAAACTTATTTACTAACTTTAAAACTACAAAGAATTATTAACATTTTTGATTTACGATTTATATCAAACCCTTTCAATTTTGTTATCTCAGGTTTTACTCGTGCTTCAATATCTATATTTACAGCTGATGAATAATGTAATAAAATAAACTGATTAAAATACCTCCAAAAATTATTAACAAACAATGTCTATCAAACAAAAATCGTTGTACGTACGTGAACCTTCAATAATGCATGGATAATATAATACAATTACAATCTAAAATCGAATTTATTATTCTACATAAACAAATCAAGTAATATTCAGTGTCCTTCCTAATGCAGTTTTGGTGTATCGATTGTACCAAGAAAAATTTGTATGAAATATCCAATTCTCTCCACAGCTCCGTCCCCTCTCAGAACAAATTTGATCTTCTTTCAATGACGTATAATATATAGACCCGGTGAACGCTTTAAAAAGTGTCCAAAACATGAATACCTTGTTATTGTTTATTGTTTTGATACGAAGATGCACGAGGTTCATGATTTCTTACGAAGCCACCGAACAACGGTGACGAAGCATCACGAATTTGATCTTGTGTTTGAAAACATCATGGACGTATGAAAACATTTTCTCCATTTTGTGTGTTTACATATTTTATGTGACAAGCAAATTTTATTTTAAATTGTTGAGAGTTATTTACTTACTATTTTAGTAAAATGCCATACTATTTTATCAAAATAATATTTCTCTTATAGACGGGAACAAAAAGAAATCATAAATATTTAATTTTATTAAAAAAAATAATAATTGTCATTAACATTTTAAATGAGCACGCCGCTGTTCTGATAAACATACCTTCAACCTTGAGCAGAGATCTTTCGGACACTCGATTATATAGCGAGAATAGGGGACCGCTTAGTCTATATATTATACGTCATTGATCTTCTTCGACTATCGACAACTTATTCACACGTTACTAAAATGATATAATATTATTTGACCCAAAATTCTAAATTGAAATTAATTATTAATGTTCTCTCCCGTGAAACGCTTTCTCTGTGTACAATTCCTCGTTTTATGCAAAATAAACTATCAGTTCTCAGCAGCCTCCTATGTAATTGGCAATATTAAACAAGATATTGCGATTTAGGGTCTTCAATGCTGTCCTTCGAATGCACCTACCTTTCAATGATGCCACCCTCTTTTCCTCTAGCCAAACTTAATCTCTCGTTCCGAAATAAACAGCGATACGTAGAATACAAGTAGGAAAAGTTTACTTACAAATGTGTACCAGATCAGCTACCGTCGGACACACTTACTTTACCAACTCACAACTTATTCTTTATCACTTCTACCCCTGGTGACCACCTCGAAAACCAACCATTCACTTTAAGACACTGGAACTAACGAACTATCTCATCTTATCTATCCATCCATTATACCTCTCATTATACACACCAATCTCACCACTTTCAAAATTCTCGGCCAATCAGAAATTTGCATACCACTCCCCACATAAAATCAGAAATACCTACAAACTTTCCTAATTCATATTATTTCTACAAGGACACTTAATTTCTACTGGGTATTTACAGATTCCGAAAAACCATTTACTTATTAACTATTTTTATTGTCCTGTTATTACAGTTTTTCTAGACCTATTTGAAAAGTTATTGGTGTTTTGCTCTGCTAATTTTTAGAAATAATAATAATTGGAGATTTCAACATTGATTTTAAAAAAGCTTCTAATGAACTAAACAATTTCCGTGATCTAATTTCTACTTTTGGCTTAACCATAAATATTAATGAATTTACTAGAATCACAATTAGATCAGCAACTTGTTTAGATAACATCTTAACAAACATAAATGTGCCAACATCTTAACAAACATAAAATGTCCATGTGTAAGGTATGTGTGCCCTATTCTCAATCTTCGAATGATAGATTTGTCCTTTCTTTTCATTGGTGAAAGCTGGTGGTAAAAAATGTTTGGTTGTAGAACGCTTAACTTGGTATTGCTTATCTTCCAATGATCATTCCAAAGATCCATTATTTTATGTTTGAGTGTTCTTTTTAGATGTGATGATGTTTGAATATCTATTGTTACGTTAAGAGAACATGCTTGTTTTGCTGCTTGATCGGCTTTTTCGTTACCTAGAATACCAATGTGTGATGGAACCCACAATATTGTTACTGTAATTCCATTAGTTTGAAGATGATTACATATACTCTGGATTTCTTGAACTATTGGGTGGATAGAATGTATGTTTCTTATGGATTGCATGGAGGACAGAGAGTCCGTACAGTTTGCTATAGATACATCATCGTTGAATCGAGTTTTCATGGCTTGTAGTATTCCATATAGTTCAGCAGTATAAATACTGCAATTGTTGGAAAGTGGAAATAAGTTGACGGTGATTGTAGTCGTTGTAACAGCACAGCCAATATCTTTTTCAGTCTTAGATGCGTCTGAGTAAAGGATCTTATCGAAGTTGCATTGATGTAGTATTTTATAGAATCTTTATTTGATAATGGAAGGTAATATTTCATTCTTATTATATTTGGATAATTCGATATTTAAATTTGGAAGTTTACATATTTATGGAGGAGTTTAAGGGACCGTGAAAGGGCTGGTCAACAATAGATTGATATCTAAATAAGGAATTAACATCTGTATTGTGAACGCTACCATTCTAGAATTATTAGTAGCTAGGAAAGTACCTAGATTATTAGTAACATATACTAGTAGTAAAAGGAAGTATTTTGGACTACATTTAGTGAACGTAGTCGTGATTTACTTGATAGCATGTAGAGAACAATACCATAGTCAAGTTTGGAGCTAATAAGAGTTCGATATATTATGATTTCCTTACAAGAAGTCTAATCTAAAGTATTTTAAACTTTAATTTGTATAAATAATATTAATGGACATTCAGAGTCAGAGAGAGCAAAGATAAATAAAACTACAAGGTAACGGGTGTAACAATGATAAAAATAAAATAACTTTCTATCTAATCTATTTTCTATCAAAATTTAATATAGTATTTGTATTTTGTTCCTTAATTACAAGATTACAATTTAAATCTTATAATATGATGTAAAAATGTTACCTTACAGTATCTATAAATTTTAGTGTTCGAAGCATTTGACACTAGCAGGGGAAGTACCAGGAGCACCAGGGCAAGCACCTGTAAAGGTGATTTACCGTTGCGATTCTGGTTTCCCAAGTAGCTGTTGCCATCAAACTGGATATCCAGCATGTCAACCAAAAGTTGAGATTCCCTGCACGCCCGAAGTGCCACCACCAAGATGCGGACCTGAACTTCCGGTATTGGTAAGTTTCTTGTAATTATTTTACACTGAGAGAAAGATTTCGATTTTCCAGCATTTTTATCTATTCCGAAAAATGTTAACAAAATAAAACAGAACGACGTTTGAGATTTAATTTCAATGCAGGGCTCCTGCCATCTGCTTATACGTATTTCGATCTTATTACGGCTCCTCAGAGCGACTTAAAAATACATACAATATATTTTATTATAATTTTATTTATTCAATATATAAAATAAAAAAAATATGTTATTTCTTCCAGATTCAACCATTCTGCAAACCTGTTTGCGTTGATCATCACCGTTGGCACGGACATTATCCCGGTAGACATTACCATGATAGACATTTGTATGGATCTTGCTATATGGATGGCCTAACAGCATGCTATCCTCAAAGCGATTGTGATTGTGATGAGGGCTGCAAAATAGTTCCAGTCAAGGTAGAACAGCCTTGTCCACCAACACCACAACCATGTCCCACACTTCCATGTCTTACAACTAAATTAGACAGAGTTGTTGTGCCATGTCCATGTCCACGTAAGTACATAATAAAAATCTGGTATATATCGTTTAAATTTCAAAGTTGTGTTCTTTTTTGTCTATTCTACTACACAAAAATGTAATTTAGTATTTTTTAGTTAGAAAGTTAATTAGTTTCATCTTCATCGCTTTTGAATCCATCTCTATACTAACTTGAAGTTACCGTTACTGGCAAACTTATTTCCCATCTTCCTTTATAAAGGTTATAGGGTTACAGGGTTATAGTCTTCCTTTATAAAGGTATCATGTGTGGATTGGAAGATATTCTTAAAGGCTTCTTTCATGAATAGAAAAGTCGCTATTGCCCTTTATTTATTCTTGTCTTCGCGCCTTGTCCATTGACTTTCTTGCCTGATATACATGTTGATGATCGCTTAGTGGTTTATATGTCATCTTTGATGTACCTATCTAGGAGCCTTTCTCACGTTTGTGCTAGAAAAAACATAGGTTTATTGGTCTATACACTTATTCCATCTATTTCGGGAAACTTATATGACTTATATAATTTGTTTAGAGTCCAACTAACTCACTGATGCCTTGTAATTTCGGTTACCAGTTGCCAAATTGCCACAGAAGACCTTTTGCACACACTTCCTTTACTAAACGATTAATTTTGATCGATGAGCTAAGAAAATGCGCTTTGGCGAGCATAAATAAGCTTTCCTTCAGCGTTTTTGTATACATTTCGTTTTTATTTTTCAGGAAAACGACCTGAGTCGCACTATAGTTCTCCGCTAAGGCTTTATGTATTCTGTAGCATGCGGGAATCTCTTCGACTTCCTCGCAGAACCTTCTACATGAGTCCCTTTTGGCACGGATATCTTTATTCTATTGTGTCAGTTTTTCTCTGTAATTATCGCACTCTTGGTTGGATTTGGCCATAGGAAATAGCGTTCTTACCTCTGCCGTCCTTATGACATCACTTACTACCATTTCCAATGTCAATTTAAGACACTTCATGTCTTTAATGCTACCTAGTCTTGCTTGTAACTATAATGTACGTTTACGTTAATACATAACTTATTTTGTCTAGTTTTTAGTGAAATGGTTTCTCCCTTCTGACTTCTTGGTTGATATAATGGATGTAGTTTATTCCTTGAGTTTGGCATTGTTACCTTTTAACATATAATATATCAAATTAAATCTGTAACTTTATAATACATTTGTCTGTTCCGTAAAGTATTTATAACTGCACATACTGCTGCAATATTAAGGATACTTGGGATCACAGCTACGAAACAAAAAATCGTATTAAAAAAGCCAGGTGCTCTTTCAATAGCCTTAGGAAGATTCTCTGCAACTTATCTTAAGTATCAATATACGCATAAGAATTCTTCGATGTAACGTCTTTAGTGTCCTCCTTTATGGAGTAGAAAGCTGGAGCCTTAAAGAAGATAAAACGATTAGAGGCATTTGAAATGTGGTGCTACCGACGTATGTTAAGGGGCTCATATATACACCACACAAGTAACATAAATATTCTCCAGAGGCTAAGAAAAGACAAAGAAATTCTTAACACCATAAAAAACAGAAAATTGGCTTACTTTGGCTTCATCATGTGTAATAATAAATACCGACTTCTACAGTTCTGATCTATTTCGAGCTGTGTGTGAATAGAATAAGATGATCGATGTGGTCGCCAACATCTCTAGAAGATAGGCACATTTAGAAGAAGAACTGTCCAATATTCCATAGTACCAAATGCATTTTCAAGTCCAAAATAGTCGTAGCCTTTTTTTGTATCAAGCTCTTTTGACTAATAGTAACCTAATTTGCATTGCCGTATTTGTTAGTATGTTCAATATTTTTAGTAGCCTATTTATGTCTTCATCTTCTAATTGTGCCGTCTTCTAACGAAATTTGACGATCGCTTCTTTGAACGCTTCCCTATCTTTTGCGAAGTGAAATATTTATTCAACACTGAAATTAGTCCAATGTCTGATATCTCTTAGCCAAAATTTCTTTCTTTCCAGCTTTTTCTTTCCTCTACTCTTCCTTGCGAGATGACGTGTAAAAGAGAGTATTTATCGTTTCGAAGTATGTAGCCCAGGTACGATGTTTCTATTATTTTAATTGTGTTTATAACCTTTCTGCCATTTCCAATTCGTATGAACACTTTTTCGTTTAAGACTTTTGCAGTCCAAAAAATTTTAAAAATAGGCCTGTATAGCTATATTTCGAATGCATTCAATTTTTTTACTGTTCCGACTTTCCAATCTCCAATTTCTTTATCTGGATAATCATTTTATTCATTATTTTCACGGTTATCATATTTGATTGGTGATTAGTTACATATTTTTAATTTTTGATTAATTTATGATTGGTGATTTAATCATAATTAAATCATTTAATTATGATTTTCTAATTACAAAAATCTTTATTTTTTCGTAGCAGTTCTACAAAATGTCGTCTTATGTCGATAAGCAGCTAGTACAAACTCAGCTGGCAAACTCCCGTACGAAAGTTCGGACGTAGAAATTTTAATTTGAGTAGGGACTTATGGTTCTCGGTTATTGATCTAATTACATTGGTATATTTCCGTAAAATTTAATACTTTTAAATACATTTTCTTTATTGTAAACCCAACCACTGTTTGGTTTCGCGGTTAGTTACGCATGTACTTCAAAAGTTCACTGAAGATGGACTGATTAATACAAAACGTTCTGAACTTTATATTAATTCATCTCCTTTACCTACAATGAAGGATTTTAACTTCGATATAGGAGTTTTATAACTTAGATGGTATACAGTGAACCCCCGGAATTATCCCATTTTAAGCTAATTTAGAAGTCTCCTTGGATAGGTTTAGGTGTCTAATAAGGTCATTCAGTTTTTGTTGAAGGGGACTGCTTAAAAATCACGTCTTTATTCAATTGCAAATATTTCACCAGATGTTGGTGTTTTTTTTGTCATCTTCTGGGAGTGTAGGGAAACTACTGAAGATATTTGTTTAGATATTTCTTTAGAATGCAGTACTGGTCTCCTTATTGAAACTACGTCCGGATATATTCATTTTTGTTTATTGTTCTGATTGATGTCTTTACTACTTCAAGTATAAAAATAATAATCATGGTAAGGATTTCTTCGTTCTCTCCAAAATGGTTCTCAAAACTTTAGGCACTTCCTCTTTCCCATTGATCTCTATTGTATAGTAGAAAAAGTAAGTGAAGTTTTTTGTTTTAATCCAGTTTAGAACTTTGTATTTTCCGAAGTTTCTAGAACGCATCTTTAGGGCAAATCCCTAGGTATAACTTCCTTGTGATTTTAAAGATATTTTGATTTAATGTTTTGACTGCCACTAATGTAAATAACAATTTTGTACTACAATTAAAAAAGTAGTGAAATATATAAATTTTAAATTAACATTCTTATATTTTTAGCACAACATTATCATAAACACCATGAACATCATCCTCATCATCATAATCACGGATTATACGAACGTGTTATTCCTACATGTTGTGGCCACATCACTTGTCCAGTGTGTCCCCCATCTCCATGTGGCATCCACCTACTGCCACATCCAAACTGTGATTGCAACGTCAGGTATGTTTCCAATATATCATTTCCTACAATTGAAAATGTTGTAAATCCAACTGGCCAACCACTTTCCCGTCGTAAAAGGGAATTGCCAATTCTTCAAAATGGATACAAATTTATGATGAATATGTTACCTAAGTTTATTAAAGAGCCTATTATAAAAACGGTCAATAGTATGGCTATGACCCATCCAGATCCAAGGCTAAGAAATATGTACAATCTACCTCCTCCAAAATTAACTCTTAAAGAACATTTAGCTCAAAAACATAAAGAAAATATGAATGCTATAAAAAATAAAGTTTTTGGTTCAACGACTTTAAAGCAAGTTCCAAAAAAATACGCTGATCACAAAAAAATACCAAAAAAATAAACTGACGAAGATAGATATATAAAGAAATATATTAAAGAAGAAAAATATTCAAACAAATATAGTAGACCAAGAATATATGTTGATAATCAACTGGTTGACAGAGAAACAGAAAATTTTGTAGAGAGTCTACAAACACCTCAAATAAACTACAAAAATGATCGTCTACGGTACTACTATCCAGAATCAGATGAGGAAAAATATATTTTGAAACACCGACCATCTGGAAGAAAACAAGAAATCAATTCGGGGAATAACTGGATGTCTGAATTAAGCTCAAATGAAGTATTAGATGAATTCAGCAACTATCAAGGGAACACTGATATGATGTCAGAAAAAGAAAAAGCTCGTTTTCTTCTAAAACTAAAGAAACTTAATAGAGGCCAAACTAGACCAAAAATGTATGATAATACAATAGATGATATTAAAATGGGGAAACATAGAGCAAAGAGATCGATAATAATAGATACTGATGAATTGTCTTTACCATTATATCAAATAAGGCTTAAAGAAAGTTTTGAAAATAATGAGATTGATGACTATTCTGACTATGACATCGATTACCAAGAGAATTCTGAAGAAAACGATATTGTTGGCACGAAAAGAAATAGTATACACGACTCAAGGGAAGAGACTATTCGAAAAGCCATTCGAGAAGAACTAGAGAAATACAAAAATATACAGAGTGAAGTAGATTATGAAAATCTAATGATACCACACAAAAAGAAGAAATGGGTATCGGAGTATCCTCTATTAAACATACTAACTTTTCCAGCAAAAGTACTTAAAAATTTAAAAGAAGAAGACCCCCTTCCAATCGTCGGAGCTGTCCCAAGAATGATGGTGGAAACTAAAAGATATTTTAAGGATTTTGGAAAGAACTTAAAAAAAGGGTTTTTGCATTTCACTAGTGACATGATCGGCGATTTTGATCATTATGGCCCAACTGATCAATTCCTCGACAGTCTTGTCGAAAGAAAAAGGTTTAAGCGAAGTTTAGATGTTACAGTAACTGATGGTAATGTAATTAATCCTTGTAAAGATAACAATTTTCAAAAAGAATCTGAAAACAAAGTAAGGAAGAAACGTTATATACTGAAAATGGTAGATGACGATGAGGTAGAAGAATTATTAAGAGAGAAACTAGGGAAGATGATTGAAGAACCTGAAAGGGCAATTAAACCAACAAGAAAATTTAAACTAAAACATAATCATCATGATGACAGTAAAGAACAAAGAAAAATTGTGGAACATTTGTATGATGATATAAGAAAACAGGGTTCAGATATTGTAAAAAAGCGCAAAAAAGTTGGTAAAACTAGAGATACAAAGAGAAATCATAATGACTCTATGGAAGAGCTTAAAAAAAAGATTGTTATAGAACCTATAAAACCAAAAGTAATTATTGATAAATAACGTTTGCCTTTTATGGAAATAAATGGTTACAAAAGACCGATATTTCTTAAAAAGGGAAAAAGCGTTGGAGGTGTCCATAGTTCTATGGAGAATAGTTCAGATGATCCTTACAATTCGTCTGAAGAAAGGCGATTTACAAAAAATAAATTCTGTAATATTAAAAGCAAGAAATAAAAAAGAATCTTTAAGTCCGGAAATACCACTTGAAGCAGTGAAAGAAAAAATATCCCAATTGCTTTGTGATATCGATACGCTAGTGTATATGGATTGTACAAGATTCGATCAAATTTATGACGATCTTATTGAAATTCAATCAATAAAAACGTCCATAGTACAATCGTGGAAAAGAATAATTATGGACAAGAAAGTAAATGACTATGAAGATAAAATTGGTCTTCTAGAAAAATTTACTGAGCTGCAACAGGTTAAAAATACAGCAACTAAAACGATTATCTACACAATTTACGAAGAAAGAGAAAACCCTTTCGCTGTAAAGAAATTGATAGGATCCTTAGCAGGATTACAAAAAGTACAATGCATAATAAATCAAGTGGTAGATTCTTTTCAAGAAAAATTTAAAACGGGGTCCAGATTTGATGTGGCTACTGAAATAAAATATGTTGATTTCCTAGCTTCTTTAAGATTTGTTCAGGCTAAAACACGAAATGAAATGGTCAAAATATTAAATAACGAAAGAGATTTAGCTTTGCAAGAAAGCATAAAGCTTCTCGAGAAATTAAAAATGATGTTAGTAGAAGACGATGATAAAATCATTGAAGAAAGAAGCTAGTATATTGTGGGAAATGAAACATGTATACAAGATGCAAGTGCAAACAATAGAAGAAATGACAGAACGACTAGAAAAAGATATGAAAATTAAGAAATGTTTAAAAATATTATTTGACCTCCAAAAACGATTGAAAACTTTGGTAGAAAAGGAAAAGAAAATCTGCTGTTCCAAGTCCAATGAAATAAGCTCTGAAAGCGAAGAGTCTGGAGAAAGTAAAGAAAGCGATGAGAGTAATTCAAAAGAAAGTAAGGAGCGATTAAGAAGTAACAAATCTTTTGATATAGAAGAGTTTAAAAAGAAATGGCAGAAAAAAATCGAGAAGCATAAAATCACGATTGAGAACAATTTTAAAAAGAAGATGAATAAACTTAAGGAATTAAAGAAAAGGAAGAATGAGTCAATAGAAGATGAATGAAGATTTCGTAACTTAAAATATCGTGGAAAATTGAAATATACACAAACGATATAAGTGGTTTGGGTCACAAATGGTACACAAGTTGTAGCGTGAGAGAAGAAATAACAAAGATTAGAACAAGAAATGAAAAAATATTTTTTATATAGGAAACAAGTGCTTTTTGTAATATGTATTTTTACGTGTATATAAAGTGAATATAGTGTTGTAAATCAGTACATAATTGCATACAACCTTGTATGTATTATTTAACACTTTAACTGCCAAATAAAACAATTATTTGTGAAAATAAAGATAAATATTTCAATTTCAATTTAAAATCTTTTCGTTTGACGTTTTCGCTTTCAAAATGAAATTTTCGTACAAAAAAATGTCTGAGCTAAAATTCGATACGTCAGATGTCAGATTCGACTAAGAAAGTATTTTTGATGATCTAATTCTAAAATTGCAATGTATATGTTCGAAATGTCAATTTTAATTATTTTAACTAAATTTTAAATAAAAACAAAGACAAGAGTTGATACAACCTGCATTTTACCAAAACTTACATACACTGTTGAAACAAAAGTTGAAAATTGAAGAACATTAAACGAGGATGGTAGAAGACAAAATTGCAAAAATTGTATAGGAAGGAAAAACATTGTAGAAGCGGCATGCTAAGGTTATCGCAAGACAGTTTGTCTTTGAAATTACATATAATACTAAATATTACTACTAAATTGCATTTTTTTTTCTATTTTTCTGATCGGTTCTGGTACTTTCTACAATCTGAGGAATACAAATTGAATATCACATTTTGACCATTTTGTTATACCTATATGATTATGATTTACAAATACATATACCAACTTTATATTTTAGATAAACATTATTTAATAGTGTTTTTTTGGCAGTTAATGTGTTAATAATTATCTATGCAGGTATTTGTTTCCCATTACTATCTATACTTTGGAAATATTCAGAAGGTTGTTGAATGTTACATGTGCACTAAAAATGTCTGGTCATTTCCTTATAAATCCATTGCACCTAATCAAATTTTAGCGTCGTCATTTTCGTACAGCGCTACCGTATAGTCAACTAGGAAGATAATGTAAATAATTATAAAATAAGGAAAATGTAAGCTATAACATAATAATACGTGGAATAGCCGAACATATAATACGATGTTATACTGATAAATAATTAATCTCAGGGTTTTTAGGTTTATTTTATAATGAAAATTACGATGATTTGATAAAGCTATTTAATCGTGTTTCTTTTACAAAAGCTAAACCTTAAATCATTAATTATAATTCAATTACCGTCTTTTTGAGTTCTATTCACATTTGTACACTAAAATCTACATAAAACGGTCAGACCACTTAGGTCACTGGTCTATCTTACAGGAATGCCACATGTTGGGGTTTGAAAATCATATTACGGCTCCTCGTGGGGCGCAGCGTCAGAGGTTGGTTTGTTACAAAGGTTATTATTGTACTTTTATATAGGCACAGCGTAAAATATTGAAAATGCAAAAAAATAATGAATTATATTGATTATTTTATAATGATAATGATAACATTGAGAGAAGAAAGAAAAATGATATATCTATCTAAAAGTCCAAAAATATCACTTAAATACAGTAATGAAAGAAGAAATAATCCTATTGCTTTGTGACGTCGATTATGAATTGTACAACATTTAATAAAATTATAACAATCGTAACTAAAATAAGCCATGTTCATATACAAATAACAAAAACAGTAGTTATGGTTAAAAAAGTAAATGACTATAAAAATAGCAATAAGCATGTGATAGTACAGTTATCTAAAACAATAATTATGTATATAAAGTAAATAACTATGAAGATAAAATTGCTTCGCTAGAGAATTTTACAGTTGCAACAAATTTAAAATAGAGCAATTGAAGCTGTTGTCTTGTTAAAAAACTAACAATTAGCAAAAAGTACAATGTATAACGACTCAAGTCATAGATTCTTCCAAAATATTTAAAGCGCGATCAAGTTTGATAGGTTAAATAAATAAGTTGATTTCTTGCATTTCTACAATTTGTTCAGCAAAAAGAGAAACACAAATTGTCAACGTTTTCTAAATAACCAAAAAGACTTTTACTAACGAAAAAGCTTTGCAAGAATACATAAAGCTTGCACTCTGTAACAATATAACTACCTTCTACTTGCGAGGCTATGTAGAAGAATAAAACTCCCAACATTTTTTTAAGAGACAATATTAGCCTCGTCTAGCTTAGTCTCTTAGGGTGAAACGTCCTTGTCTTAGAAAAAATCTAAAAGACGAATTTGGCTGGAACAAATAAACCAAGATATGAACAAATCATATTTATTGTACTTACATAAAATATAAAATTCAAATTTTAATATTAAATAAA